GATGTTTTAGATTGATCAAAAGTGATGATAAAGACATTTATAATGTTACAAACGATTTCTATTTCAGATAAATGCTGTTCTTCTGAACTTTCTATTCATCAAAGCCCCTTATAGGGTTATATTAAAAATCCTTTTTTTAAAAAAAAAAAAAAAAAAAAAAAAAAAATTCTTGGCATCCTGAAACCTGCAGGACTTTTTTGCTTTCAGTCACAGAAGAAAGGCCAGAACCCGCAGTTTCTGCAGAGCCGCAACCTGAAATGCATAGCCTTATGTGAAGGTACACATTTAACAAAGATTTATACCATCATCTGCAATTTTTATCATGTTAATAATCACTTCTTTTTTATATATATGTAACAGTTATTACATCTCCAGACCTGCACAAGCATGGGGACATCTGGGTAGTTCCAAATACAGATCATGTCTGCACACGTTTTTTCTTTGTGTAAGTACATTTATGTCTATCTCAGCATATATCTGTAAAATTAAATATTGAGTGTGTATCTCACATATTGAATGCATTCATTCCACCAGAACATAAAAAGCAGAATGTGTTAATAGCAGAAGTACTGAACCTAAATTGAACTGAAAGTCTACTTCTGTTTTTCTTTTTTTTGCGAACTAGTTATGAGGACGGACAGGTAGGTGACACAAGTATAAACACACAGGACCCTGGCATTCATAGGGAGATCCTGCGAGTCATCGGCAATCAAACGGCTACTGGATGAAAGAGTTTGAACACAATACCGCTGCCTTGACCTCTTTCCCAAAGCTGGACATTTGAGCGTAGGAGGCCAATACCACATGTATTTTTGGTAACCACAAATACACACAAAAAAACAAGAAGCATATTCGCAATCTTCAGAATACACTATTTCTACTGTTCCCCTGGGATACATGCATATTTACACTGGCTATTCAAACTATTACCATTTTGCTAAGTTTATAAATACAAGGTAGATTTTGAAAGAGCATGGTATGTCTCTCAGTTCAACTGATAGACTACTTATTTTTTGTAAAGAATACAAAAAATTAAACGCTTTGAAGAATACAGTATTTTGAGACTTTCCTGGAGAAAATACAATATTCCTGTGAGGATATGCGCCATCTGACCTTGTTTACTAAGAGTTGTACTTGTTAAAGTACATTAATTTGTGCATACAAAAGGTGTCTACTGTATATGCACTTTATTTTTCTTAATGTATGATAGTTGTTTCAAACTTCCATATAATCTTAAATGCCTTTGAAAGACAGACATATTTATTGTTTGACAGTGCTGAACACAAGTGAGCAACTCCTGATGTTGACTGCATTTACAGCTGATGGAGAGCTTTGACAAGTGTAGTTTAAAAACAAAATCCTTGTGCTACAGCTAATATTTTCTGCTACTTAAAAGTAGCTGTCGGTTTACAATTTCTAAAGGCCTCAGTTTAGAATTTGCCCAGATGTACTGAACCTGCCACTTCATTAACATCGTCATTTTAAACGTACAGTATTGCTGTAACGTTTTCATTTGAGTGACTATACCAAGTATGAAAAAAAAATTAAGATTAAAAATACAAAAAAATTAAAAGACTTTATATATTCAGCAGCGACAACTAAACATAAGATGCATGCTGCTTTCCTTACGTTTTCAGATTTTTTTTAAATAATGGACAAAAATCGGCACCCAATTGTAAAATGTCTTTGAATATTTCAATATAAAACTTTTTTGTAAGGTGATTTTAAGGCAGAATAAGTGTTTGCTGCTTGTTGTTTATACATTGTAATGTATTAACAGAAGGTTTAAATGTGAGTATTCTGTTCAATTTTTGCAATTCTTTAGTGATGTTTAGACACCTCTGTGGTTGTTAACTTTACTTTCGAAACATTAAATTGTTCGATCATTGAAATCACTAAATCTTTTTTTGAAAATGATCACCCAATATTGGTATAAGGAAAGGTAACGCGTTTGGTAAAAATGTATGAAATTGTATTCAAAATACTATACGAGGAAATGCAACTTTTACGTAGTCAAGATGTAGCACCACAACGGTTTTTTTTCTTCTCACTTATGGGCAGAATTATGGGTTTTATTAAAATATGGGCACATTAAATATGTGGTATTGATTATTTTGTGTGCTGAAAAGTATTTTGTATTTCCCATGGGGCTCTGAAATACTGGTTAATTCATATGATGTTCACTTGCAATATATTCCATTGACTCCATTATAGTTTCAATTGAATGGCAACAGCTTAATATTACATTAAATGTAAAGTGAAAGTTTATATAATCATTACGCATTGTCAAGTTTGCCATTACTAAAAAACGATGTAAATCAGATTAATTTGATTATTCTTTCAAATCCACAATCTAATCAGTTAATAAATATTGTTTAAATATCTTTCAAGGATTAAGATGGGGTAGTTCTTACATGCATGTACACTCATAACTGTTGCAAAACATCTAACAGCAACTTATTTTTATGTTTATATTTTTTCATTGTGATGGACCATGTTCATATGTGATGGGTCTATTTGTATAGTTTTGTACATTTTCCGCACAATTTGGTTAAAAAGGATCATGCTACTTAGCATTTGGTGCCTTATCGATAAGGATTTAATGGCAAACCTGACAGTACTGTCATATATGAAAATACTGTATATAGTGTAAATAATGCCACAGCAACATGGAGGCCAAATATTTTCTGTAGTACGTTTTTACTTTTTCCTTATTTTGCGAACGGATGAAGCTTTTTACAAGTTATGGAAATAGTAGCTTATGTATCTGTTTATGTTCATTAAATTCAGATTTGCCAATAATTCAGATATTTTTGTCTTTTTTTCTTTCTAAATGAAATCACATGTAAACCCCTAAATACTGCAGAACACCAGTTCAAGCACACAAGTCTGCAGCCTTACTAACCTTTGATCCGGAGCCATTTTCCAAATGCAAGAGCCGTTCCTTTTTGTTACAACCATGAAACACCTGGCCAGTCCACAACAAACAACTTCCAAATGGCTGCTGACAGCATTAAGATGTCGTCAAAATATGTTTATGAGGGGAAAAGCAGTGCATGGCGATTTTGTATAAAGTTGTAGAATAGATAAGCCATTTCATTTCAAGAGTCTGTCCTCTAAAGCACAAATACAAATTATTCCAGTGTTCCTATAGCTGTTTTTCTCATAACATTTTATATGTTACTAATTTAGCTGTACCTCTGTAAATCAGTGCTAGAACAGGCTAATCATTGACTCAAGTTGACCAAAAGCCAGGATACTTGGCCCAGGTAAGTCATCGATTATTATTATTATTTGTATATGATGCCTAAATACCAGTAAATCTTTCTGCAATGTAGCATCTTTCTGAGGGGAAAAACCATATTTGATGAAGCATTTGAATTTAATTAATGACGTTCATGTACACTTTTGCATCTTTCATCCAAGTTTTAATACTACAATCCACCAAAATCAAAACAAAGGTAAACAATAAATGATCCAGAAAAAAAACCCGGTTAATATTAAAAAGCCTGATATCAATGGGAATGGTTTAGTGTTACTAAAATGACCTGCTCTTGGTTTCATTAAAGTTTCTCATGAACAGTAGTCATGAGTTTTTTGCTGCTGAGGCTCTATAATTTTCTATACACTACATGACACTTAATTTTACTGCATGTTCATCCATTTAAAAAATCTAATCACAATATAATATAGCAATTATTATTTTTAAAGTAAAACAAACAAGGTATACTGCATACATAACATCACAATAGTAGATTTTCTTTGGGGCATTTTGAAAATGCTGTCACGTGATGCTGCAAAAGACATTAAAGCAATGGTCAAACATCTCCTTGTTAAAACAATGAAAAGGTAGCGCAGTGGAATGCAAAAATGCACTGAATGGCCCTTAACTCTTTCTCTTAAACTGCTTCATGAGATTCATACATTCAAAACTGTGTTAAACATTAAAAATGCCTGTAAAAAAAGAAAGAAAAGTGCTTTACCTTGATCAGTGATCACAAGACTGCAATATTACTTTATTCTTGTCCTTGTTTTAATATGACTACTGGTTGTAATAGTGTCTGAACTGATTACAAGGTAGTTAGTCGATTCCTTTTGCTTTCAGTTCATCTTGTACTCGTTTCAGGTAGTCTGGATCTGGGTAACCATAGCTACAAAGAAGAAAACATAATTACGACCCTTATAATAGCTATTGCCAATTAAACAGTGCTAAAAATAAAAGGGCTTGTCTCAAAGAAGGCAACCACCCAAAAATGATGACAACACCCAAACTGTGTACTCACCAGGTTGACCCTCCATAACGAGACGTCTTATGGTGAATGTCATTCCAGGTTACCACATTGTTCTGTCCAGTAGTAGATGAGCGTCCAATGGTGAAAGTGAGTCGCTGGTCGAATGCCCTCTGCAGAAGCTTCAGTACCTTATTCCCCTCTGTTGAGTAAGGGAGGTAAGCTATGCGGGTCGCACCCTGGTACGGCATGCCTGGGTTTGGGTGTTCATCCTGCAGAGTAAGGTAATCGAAAACAACATTTCAACCGTGTAACTGATTGATATCATAACGAACAGCTTAATGCAGAAGAACGTCTAACACTTCATTGCATTTGTACTCACCCCCTGACATCCTCTTGGTATATGGTAGTTAATTATGATTGTACCATATCTTTCATATCCAGGTAGAGAGGACCTGTCTGATGAGACAGTCATGGTTCCTCCTTTTGGTTGCGTCCCTGTAAGATTGCCGTATATCTCTCCGCATATCGGACAAGTTGGCTTCACGTGGAAAGCTCTCTCCAAACAGTCTTTACAAAATCTATGTTTACATTTAGACAAGACTGTGCATTCAGATATCTTGAGTGTTTCCAAACAAATTGGACATGCCTCATCTTTGGCTTGGTCTATGGATTTCTGTTGTTTCACAGGTTGCTTGTAAGGTGTGTCTTTGACTTTTGTTTTATTTGGTGTTTGGTAGTGTGAATATGTCTGTGCACTCCCATTCAAAAATGTCTCAAATCTTTCAAGGCTAATGAAGTTGCCAGTCAGTTGCAATCGCCTTTCATCTTTATGAGTGATTAGAAGTTGTGGAAATGCTGCTTGGCAATGTGCAATAATTCCTTGACTGCAATCGTATGTCCTAGTTTGCAGCCCCGTTGCAATATTTTGATACAATGTTATAAACTGTTCTCTTGCAAACTGATCGTGAACGCTCTTACCAGACGGCGACATAAAGGTCACATATCTATCATCTCGCTTCATGATAACTGCATTCCTTTTTTTAATTATGTCAAGTTCCTTGGATTTCATTTTTTCAATGTAATCCATAACAATGCCATCAACCTTAACTGGTTCAACTACTAAAGAGTTACTTTGAGCTGGTCTCTCCTCTTGTCTTAGATCTCTACTTCCATCACATGTTGTTGGCACAATTATACATCTCCTATACATATCTTCAGCCTCTGGAAACGACCCGCTGGCAACACCTTTCGCATCTTCATATTTGTGTTTCACAGTCTTGCTTTTGCTTGAAACTGAATTTGGCGGGTGTAGTCTCACTGCAGTGAATATCTGCAATGCATTTGAAAATAATAATCATAGTTGATCTATTAACGGGGTATCTGCGTTTGTTTTAAAATCAGGCCTTTTTTAAGAACTGACTGACGTCACGCTTACATCTAAAGACACTAATAAACAGTAACTTAGTAGTAGCAAGTGATTTAACTAACTAACTAACTGGAGTCCCGACATGAAATCCTTAAATGATAAATAATATCGTTGACAGGGTTTTAGCATGACTGTTAGCAAACTCACCTGTGGCAGGCTCATCTCTATCTCCACCGATGGCGTCGTTCAGTTGTCAGGGAAATCAAAACAACATCAAGCGGGAACAAAACGGGCCAAGACCTACCGTAACCGTCAAGAAGTTTGTTTCAGTAAAAAGGTAACGTTATACATTGTTTTCTGGAGAGTAGTACAAGTTGAAGCGCTTTTTGTTTGGTCCTATATATCATCACAGTGTCACTCAGAACACTGTTAACACTTTTTGAATGTAACTTACACACGGTGCAGTTTGTTTCACTTTTTCAAGCAGGAAGTCATCAGTATCGGGTTGCCAGGTCCTAGTAAAACCCAGCCCAAAGCCGCCTCAAAACCCGCCCAAAAGGAATAAAAACTAGCCTATTTGCCTTCGTCCAGAGTTAACAGATGCAGGTGTCAAAAACAATATTTCGCAGTTAGTGTTTAATATTATAAAGACACGGTTTTCAAATATTTAAAAAAATAAAGTAGGTAATTCTACCCACTTAACCAAAGTCCTTTAAAGGTATTCTATAGTCTTTGACTTAACATAATCTAAAAGATCAGTTAAGGTATACGAGTATCGTTATCGGCTACACTGGCCCATATCTGTATTGAAACGACAATATATCAGGCTAGATCAGTGGAGTAAACTGCACATGCTGCCAGGAATTTAAAATCAAAATCTGTAATGCCTGAATTCATCAAGCCCTAGAATTGGGCTAATATGTTAGTCTAGTACTAGTTGAATCCTGATTGTAATAATATCAAAAGTACAGTAGCCTACTTTGAATAAAGTAAACCGTTACAGTGAAAATGTATGCATTCCTCATTGAGTAGACGACGCACTCACTTATAATAAAGTAGAAAAACATTTACACCACAAGAGGGAGTTAGAGGTACATTCAGGTGCAAAGACCTTATTCCAACAGGAATAATATGTGTCCTAGTCTCCTTCCCAGTGAACAAGCGATCTTCGATCCTCTCTTGTGAACTAGGGCATCACAAGACTAATACTGCGCCTGAGTAAAATAAAATTGTGCATATAATTTTAACTGACAAAATAGATTACAGTATACTCACCTGAGAATACTTATCCCCGTCAAATTTAGCTCACCTGTGATGGACTGGCCATCTGCTTGGGTGTCCTGCGACCCTGTGGAGGACAAGCAGTCTGGAGAATAGATGGATGGCTGGATCACCACCATCCATCATCACTCCCACCCTAAGCCCATTCACATTTTATTTTAAAAGGGTCCTATTATTGCCCTTTTGACAAGATGTAAAATAAGTCTCAGGTGTCGCCAGAATGTGTCTATAAAGTTTAAGCGCAATAACTCATAGGTAATTTATTATTTGGTGCTGTAAATAAATACCCTTTCTTGGGCAGAAGCAAAAAATTTAAAAAGAGAACTGCTGAATTTGAGGATCAGTTCTGTCAGTGAATAACAGGATGTGAAAATATTTGTCATCATATCTCTTCGGGTTGTGCAAACCAGCTAAATGTGAACTTGGCTCACATCCACAAACAAACACTTAGTCAGAGCTGTTGTAAATACAAGATGTACTTGAGCATGGTGCAGAATGCAGATACATAATATTGGAAATAGGACATCATTAAGCCTTTCAACAGCATTACCACCACACACCCACCAGAAGCCCACTAACACATTGCCGTAAACCCCTCCCCCTCAAAGATATATCATTAGGGACCCTAGTCTGCAGCAAAACATCTTTAGAGAGGCCCACCAGCTAGCATCAAGGCATCACTGGAAACCACCTGCCTGCACAAGAATACCACCAAACCCTTAACACCACCAAAGACCCCCATACCTAAATAATCAGTCCTTTTAAATATAAAGACTAAAACCCAGCATTAAACCGATGTTTAAAAAAAAAAAATCCAAATGACAAAATTATCTCCACGAATGTA